ATCATTCAAAAGTTTCATTTGATAATCGTTGTATACAACATTATTGATATTATCCATAACCTATCAACCACACAGACACCAGAGCCAGGACACTATGAGAATCTAGCAGTTACTTGAGTCATACTTGAAGGTCATCGTGAATGAAGAACCGTGTATGTCATTACAATGTGAGACAGTGGTGGTAAAATAAAGAGCGTTGAAAGAATGAAGAGGGAGTGGTTTCGTTTCGTTATAGGGGCTGCTTCTGTTTTGTAGTTTTGTATCCTGTACTTTACTTCCGTTGCATAATGCATGATTTCTTCTTTTCAGGATGATCCTGTGCCCGAGAAAAAGGACCCCACTCATTATTCTGAGCTGGATCCAAAATCTCTGAACGTCAGTACTTTTTCACTATGATTATTAGTGACCGTTAGGTTCCTTATCACTTGCATATATTTATATATCATTAATTTCATACAGGTGACCGAACTACGACAAGAATTAGCTGCGCGTACTTTAAATTGCAAAGGGCTGAAGTCACAGTTGCTTGCAAGACTTACAAAGGCGATAACCTCAGAACAAGCTAAGGAAGAAGGAAGACAAGATGATGTCGACGAAAATGAAAAAGATATTTCACCACCACCGAAGGAAGAAGACGATAAGAAATTCAGAGATACTAAAGATGTAAGTAGTATTATTTAGTATAATAGTATTATTTAGTATTCCTGTTCTAATAATTAAAGATAAAAGTCAATGTATAACGATATATGATGTATACATATTTTAATTACAATAAATTGATTTGTGTAACTTTATTAATGTCATATTATTACAGCACGATGAAGATAGAAGGAAGCTTTGTGAACGCGAACGTGCTTCTCTTGAGAAACGGTACACTTTACCGGAATCGTCTCACATCATCGTTCATCCTTCCAGAATGGCTAAAAGTGGAAAGTTCGATTGTACCGTTATGTCTTTAAGTGTACTTTTAGATTATAGACCAGAAGATACAAAGGTATTACATTTATATGCTCGTATATCAAATTATGTTACATATAAAAAAACGTTCTATGGTAAAACCTCGATTTAAGGAATTAATTCAACGGTGTAGTTTAATAATTCATTTATTTTTAGGAACATTCCTTCGAAGTATCACTATTTGCGGAACTCTTTAACGAAATGTTAATGCGAGATTTTGGCTTTCGAATTTATCGGTCATTGTGCAGTCTTCCTGAAAAACCTAAAGAAAAGGACGAGGACAAGAAGAAGGATAAGAAAGATGACAAGAGAGATGAAAAGAAGGACGATAAAAGGAAGGACGATGAGAAAAAATGTATTAGGAAAGATGAAAGGAAAGATGACAAGAAACGAGAAGGAAGTAAGGATAAGAAGGACGATAAGGATGCAAAAATTAAAACTGATGATAGAGAGCGAGAAAAGGAGAAGAACGATGACGATGATGACGAAGAAGAAGAAGAATCTGACGTAATGATAAATTATATATATATATATATATATATATATATATCTCATTGAATATATTACTGGATTCTAAGTTTATAATTATTTTACTTTGCAGGATGATGATTCAATTAAAGATGGCAGAAGAGATAGAGATAGGGATGGAAGGAAGAGGAAGACAAAATTGTACACATACGATCCTTACCTTTTACTATCTTTTGTTTATTTTGATCAAACTCATTGCGGATACATATTCGACAAAGATATCGAAGAACTTATTTATACTTTAGGATTGAATTTGTCAAGAGCTCAAGTTCGTAAATTAGTACAAAAGGTAGTAACAAGGGATTCTTTGCATTATCGTAAACTAACAGATAGATCCAAGGAAGATGATCCGAAAGAGAAAGATGAAAAAGATACAGACAAGGATGAAACTAAGACAGAGAACGAAGAAGAGATACTACGTTCGTTAGCACTTGGTACATTTTCAAACTCTTACAAGTTGAGTATTATTATTATTTGAGTACAGCACTAATATTTTATTCTATTTTAGGAAACAAAAAATTGTTACCAGTATTTGTTGGAAGTGGACCACCATCGAAGAGAGCACGTAAAGATATAACCTCAGAGCAATCCGATGAACCAATCATATCGGAAGGTTTTGTCATGTACAAAGGCTCTTTATTAGATGTAGAGAAACTCGTAAGCCAATTAAAGAGATCGGAAAAGGCTCGATTAGATACGGAAGAACGCATGATGGAGTTGCAGCACGAGCTGACAATAGTAAACGATAAATCTACAAAACAGACAAATAATATTAAAGTTCTTTCCGAAGACTTGAAGATGTACAAAGATAAATTAAGGAGTACAGATGAAAAGCTCAAGAAAGTATCGGTGAGTACAGCCTTGTTCCTATACAAAAGGAACGTAATAAGATTGTAAAACATATCGGTTGGTTTGTTCATTAGTCTTTACAAGCAAACAAATTAATGTTTTTAAATTAAAATAATAAGATATTAATTATTTTCTTATGTTACTTTAATATTGATTATTACTTTAGAGAACATTTAAGAATTTTGAAAAGGACTCAAACCTACAGGTTATGTAGGTTATGTATAAAATTATAATGGAAACAGATGATTTTGAAGATATATTAATATTTTATTCATTCTTTTTCTCTCCGCAGACTGAATGTCATACATATTCCACCGCAGTGAAAAATATATATCATATAGCAGCGAAGATGATGCAGTCTGATACAAAGAAAGTAGAAATCGTTGAGATACAAGATGAAAAAGTTAGCGAAGTGAATGGATCTGAAATTGAGAATAAGTTTAAAACAGATACCAGATGGGGGGACAACAAGATTGCGTTAAAGAAAGATTTTCCAGAAACAGATAAAGACAAAAAATGTGACAATTAAGTTTCGGTTAAGGAGGAAGTTACGGATAAAGAAAAGAAGTAATAGACATTACGTTCTTTATTTATTGTAAAAGATGCTCGCGCGTTGACATAAAATTCTAGCTGTATTAGTAACAAGAAAGCTATAAACGTGTTTAGTGGCGATAGCACGAAAGGTGGATGGGATAAAGTTTCCCCACGAGAAAGTAAATGACTCTGAAAAAAAAACCTGTTTTATAACTTTTTTCACTCAGTGACAATGTGTGGTAAACCTGTTTCTGTGCATATTACGTTAGAGAAAAACTAGTACACATAAACGATACTGAATTATGCAGATATTAGAACGGATTATTACATCGCAAGTTTTCATAATCAACTTGTCAAATTTTATGTAGATATAGACGAAATCCTTAAAAATTATTAAAAATACCTAACGTGCCAGGTACTAATTGACAGTGTATATCGTAATCTCGAAATAAGTTTACATTAAACATTGTCATCATTTTACTAGTACATTTCAAATTTTAAATGAACTTTTAAATAAATCCAGTCATTTATCACTTCATTGATACTTGAAAAAATTCGTTTTCTTTTTCTTACTTTATTTTGTTTAATGATAAACTGTGATCTTCTGAGAGAACATTTATCACGACGCAAAGTTCTTTTTCTTTTGATAGTTTGTATTTAGAATCATAACCATAGTGTCGTTCCTCTTGCGCATGGATTATAAGCATATTTATAATCCTTAAGTGAGCTTAGATGAATTTCATTTATCACGGGTAACTTCTCTCTCGACATAGCAATCGATTAACACGTTTAACAGATAGCAATGTGTTTGTATTATGTTGTAAACGTATTTATTGTTTTGTACACAGAAGGCAGTATGAAATAAAACTTTTTATGCGTTATGCATAACACCAATCATAAAGTAGACAGTAATAAATTGATTTAAGGGATATCGTTAGCATTGTTTTTCTCGAACTGCGTACAATAGGAAACTGTATTCCCTGTAATTGTTGTAAATACTTTGATGAAAACAGAACCTAAGAGTAATCTCGATACCAAAGTATCTATAGACAATTTAGTTTCAAGTAAATACATTAATATGTATAAAGTAATAATTATAAAATCGTAAAAAAAAAAATCATTACGTATATACATACCAGTTCAGCAGTTGTAGATACAAGTACGATTTCTGTTAACATTATTTAATATAAATTTTACAAGAATTTAAATATTAATAATGACACAACGTAAACATAGAAAGATGAGTGCTCATGATGTCCCATGTTTTAAATATACGTTGCTCATTATACGAATATAAAATGTCCTGAATAGTTGTAAAGAAGTATCCAGCAAACATTCTCCTAAAACATTGTTTTGTACACAACGATCTACTATAGACAATCGTTCTTAATCGTTCTTAATCGTTCTTAATCGTGGTTCATGATTATTTATGAAATTACATTTTTGTCAACAAATCTTGAACTCTAAGAATTAATATAAAATTATAACCATGTACGTAAGATAAAAATGATGAACATTGTAAAATTGCTTACTTGGCAAGCAGTACTTTGAAATTTGAGGATATACATTGAGAAAAAGAAAATAAATTTTGAACAATACATGTTATTTTTGTTTTTACCTTTGTGTATATTTATTATAGAAAAATGCGAATCAATGATGATCATTTATCAAAAAATATGTTTCGAACAAGAAGAAAACAAGTAGAAAACTGCAACATATAATACATCAAATAAAATTTTATAAATTCCCAGTTTACCAGTATCATTTTTATTACTAAAGCGTAGTGGTTAACATTGATGTGTAAAACAATGTTTATCGAATAAGACTAATGGCACACAAAAAATAAATAAATATATTTTTAGAGAAATCTTTTTAGAAATTTTGGATTATGTAAAAAGGCTAATACAAGACACATTTTAAATAAAGTACTTTTATTCACATATTACTGAATGAATAATGTTATATATCCTAGGAAAAATAAATATTATTTTTTCATGACTGTGTAATAATACTTCTGACAAACATTCATACAAAAATATTTTCTGCTACATTCAATAATTAATATATTAATGAATAATCAATGTTGAATTTATATGCAATGATAAGCCAGGATGACATTAATAACGATCCAATCAAACATAACTTCATTTATTATTCTATCGCATTTAGGACCACAGAGGCAACATATTTATACATATAATGTACAAATTAAAGTAAGGTTTATCTAATACAGGACATAAATTACCCGTGTTTCTATTTAATTACAAGAGAAAGCTTTTATTTATATTTAGTATTTTGTAAATGTTAAATAAGACTGATAATCCAGCTGTATTTTATTAAGATTTTACAAGGTTGACTTGTGGTTGCCATGTTTTTTTTTTAATATTAACCATTTAAAGGTGCCTATCGTTAAAAGATTTTACACTTTATAAATGCAGTACTACACGTTCAAGGAACAGCAGCATTTATAATGATAATTGCTTAGTCATATATCATTCACTGCTCAAGTCAGGTATATTTGCTACTTTGTTGAAACTTAATTCTGTTCATCTAACACAAAAAAAATATTGCACGTTACTTAAGTACAATTTGTTCTCATTCATTCTAAAGTTACCAAAATTTTTAGAAATGGTTACAATATTAAAGCATCGAAAACATTAATATAATTTAAAAAGCTAGCTGAAACAAATAAACTTGCGTTTTGTGCGAATTCCTTTACAATCTGTTAGTACACCATATTAATCAAATAATTTCATCAGCATTATAACAATTTTGAAGAATTGCACATTATTCAACTGTTGACACGACAAGGGTGTGAAAGAGCATCCTGCTGAAAGTTGTTCGTTAACTTTTATACAGTAATTAAGCATGGATATAAATATTTGTGCACAATTATAATCACAAAAATAATTTTAGAATATTTTAAATATATATATAATATTTGTATGTTTGTTGCATAAATATTAATATTTTAAAGAATAACTTGTTTGCATCTCATAAAACATTCTACAAATGTTATCAATTATTGTGCTCAAGTATATCTATCTTGAAAAAGCAGATTTAATTCTAATAAGGAATTCAACTATTTTTTGGCAAAAGTAAGTAGAGATACATGAGCACAGTTTTTCAAATTTTGCATTTTTTTCAGCAGGAAACTGCACATGGTAATAATCAAGAATAATTACAGAAAAAGGTAATGTCAATGTTTTAACTGAAAAATGTTTTTTGCTCAAGTAAAAATATCATATGCGAGAAACTAAATTTATCATAGAATTACCTTATTCTTTAAACGTGTAATCAATTTCGAGATGTAACATAATAATTGAAAGACGAGAGACAAAAAGAAAATGTATGATTAATATTTATAATTTGAAGACTTTTCATTATTAAAAAATATTTAAGTTTCACATTTTGCAACAATAAACAAAAGTAAATAAGAATATGTGAAATAATCTTTAAATGAAGTCAATTTTATTAAAAATTTGTGACAACACTGTTTTTTAAACAGTTATAACCGAAATATTAATAATGAAAATCATCAAATATCCTTCCAGTTATTTCCAAAGTAACATCGTTACTTGATATTCAGTCTGTCATCCTAAAGAGGTTCTCTCTACCTGCGGTACACTCTTGTACATACATACATACATATCAGCCTGTTACATTACGAAGGTGAGACCCACTAAATTCAATATCATTACTACATTTGTCCATATAAAAAATTGTTTTATCCTCTCGATTCTCCTCCATTTTATTATTATACCATTGTACAAATTAAAGATTATACAAAAAGAATATACAATATATAAGATATTTAGTATCTCCTGATATCGATTTATCTTGAATAAATTATAAATTTATCTTTACCTTCTTCCATTGATACACCGACCATTTAAAATGGTTCTTATTGTCTCGTTTAAAGATATGTAAATAACTATATCGTAATTTCAAGAATTTTTCATTAAAAATAACCAATGGCCATTGCAGTTACGATATTTTTATATATTCTATAATTCAGGAGAATCTAAATATTGCAAACTGAAAGAATTAATAGCACCAAATATAATCTTACATGCCAGCGATGGAATAAATTACAAGTAACATAAATTATAAAGAAATTTACAAGAACGATCTGATCTGAACAGCTGTACATTACTGTTAGGATCAGGACTAATTAAAACATATTACTTATCGTCAAAAATTTGTACATTAAATAGAGAATAATACATTGAAATTAAAATGTGGTATTTAATAGTATGTATAAAAATGAAAAGTTGCCAAGAAGTTGGCTCGAAGCTACTGAGAATAGAGAAAATTATTCAGAAAGAAATGATTGAGTCGTTGAAGAGCATGGTGCTGTTTAAACTAAAAGGATTAAAAGATTAAAAAGATGTTTTAGAAACTGTGATGTTCAAGCAAAGGTTAATTCTTAACACTTTACCAACTGGTGGCTGATTAAGTAGCTTTTTGTCTCTAATGCTCACCGACTGGTAACTGTTTAATCGGTTGCTATGGTAATTAGCAAGTATTCGTTACTTTGTATTGAGATACTAGTTGCCTCGCTCTGTAAGTTTCCATATTTTTATACAATTTTAACAAATTTAGCCTTGATGGTGAATACAAAAAGTAAAATACAAAAATAAAAAGAATAAAGTTTATTAAATTTGATTATCCTATAATAACAGAAAGCGTACAAATTTACCTGAGCATAAGACAAGCGAAAATATTCATTGGATGTTGAACTGGTACCGGTTGGTAAAGTGTTAAGATTAATCATTTTTCTCCATTCGTAGAGCAAAGTTTCCATTTCGCAGTATTGGTGGTTAAAAGGTTAAAAATACTAAAAAGAAATTTTCATAGAACAACCGCTGTTAATTTAAAGGAATGTAAATAAACAGATGTTGCTAGCTGTAGCTAACTAGCATGTGAAGTGAAGTACATGAGTAGATTCTTCGCAAAACTTTTGCAATTTATAGAATATGATAAAATGCATTAGTATGCGTTCATAAACAGAGTGACACGATCACATCTAATTACAAAGGTTTTGCTAATAATCAAATGAATTCATTGACCCTGTTGAAAAATGATTTCATGTTCTGCGATTCGTGAAGCATAAAAATTAAATGAAACATAAACGTGAAAAGATAGGAACTTATGAATTGTCCTTAACTATCCATACATTATTTGTACATTATTTCTGTTATTCGTGTGTACCAAATGTTCAGAGCATTACGTTTTTCTGTTGCTCGTTGTATGATTGCAAAAGAAATTTCGCATCGTTCGTGTTTATTATAATATTTAAAAAATTATTTAATTATTTAACCCGTATCACGTTCTACGAATTAAAGGCAACGATTCGATTTTGTAGAGCTAACTGTGCAGCATCCCCGCGGAAATAAAAGAAGGTAGTACAAAAATAAACGAAAGTCGAACGTAACTTCGCACCTACATGAATTACGAGTTGTGCGATCGGCCTGTCGAGGTTTAGGGTCTCGGTGATGGTATGAAAGTCGATGTTGCAAGTTGCGAGTTCTCTAACTGTAACATGACTTCGTGGGACTCCCTTCCGTTCTTAGCAGTTCTTATCTCGCGTTGCTCCATATTGTTTCGACTCGGTGGACTTCAGTGGACTTTAAAGTCCTTCTTACTGACAACTATGCCCATTTCGACGATGCGAGGTTTCTTCTTCACGAGATCTTATTGTACGTACTTCTGTTAACATTAAGCTCTATGCGCGATGTAGGGCGGTGTCGATCCTAGGAGTCACTCCAACTACAAATATAAAACATCAGATTCTTCTATTAATTTTGATCCTCGATTCATTTTACTTAGGGGAATTAGAGTTTCTGAATATACAGTAACAAATACAGTGCCTGAAATTTTCATAAAGCCACCCAATATTTTGACGAATTTTTAAAAAATATTAACTTTACTACTTTTTTCTCATTTACAATTATATTTAATTTACATTTTTTGTGTTTACATTTTTTGCTATACGAAGCAAAATATAAGTGCGAAATTTGTATAAGGCCACTTAGTTTGTGCTTACAGTGGGTGTAGAATGTATTCGTACACCGATCAATTTTTCAAAAAACTTTTGTGTGAAATTGTAGTTTCTCAACTTCTTTTTTTACAATCAATGATATTTTACATATTCTCGGAAGTTTCTAAGATAGATACAACATTTACTAGTTAATGTAATTCGTGAAATTAACAAAACAATGCAAAAAGTGGGTAAAAGTATAGAAGCAAGAAGTATTTGTACGATTCTTATGACGAACCGTTTACAGTAGAGTTTGTAACGTAAACACATTAGTTTATGGCACCATACGAGTTAGAAAACATCAAATTTCCAGTAAAGTGCTTTTAAAAATGGCTCTAATAGAGGAATCGAAGAAGATCCCACTTCGAATAACTAATAATTTAGTTAATTTAATAGTTGGAAGTATACAATAATTATAAAATCAAAAGGAAATCCCTACGAAGGAAGTATTATATACTTATAATATAATATAATATATATATATTCTTTTCTTTTTAATGAAGTTTTAAAAATGAAACAGTTGTACGAATACTTATTGCTTCAATATTTCTATTGATTACTTGTTTCTTTTTTCTTGCTCATTTCGCAACTTAGATAAATAGCTATTTTTGTTGTAATCTATCTATTCTAGAGATTTCCGAGAATATGTAGAATGTCATTGTTTACAAAAAATAAGATAATAAATTACAATTTTACATAGCTATTTTGGAAATTGATCAGTGTACGAATACTTTCTACACCCACTGTAAGTGCGAAATTTCTACATATAAGACCACTCAGTTTGTGCTTAGATTCTGAGTTAATAAGTCCAGCTGGGTACCATAAAGGAAGTAAAACTCCAATAAAAAAGTAATTTGGGTATTTGCGTAAAAATTGATCTGTAAATTTATTGAAATGGTAATTTTTTATATTTTAATTTCTTACTAGTAAAATGCCACGAGGACAATTGTTAACCAGTGAAGAAAAGGCATCCATTGATGCTTATAGGGATATGGGATGTTCTAATCGCATAATTGCAAAAAAAATTAACCTATCACGTACCGTTATAAATAATTATGTAAATTTAGGAAAAGATTAGGGGAAAAACCATCCCAAAGGGGTGAATTTCAAATCAAAAGCTGACCAAGAGATAGCATTCATTATTAATGAGATCTGCATCAAGAGAATTGAGAAGTGCAGCACAACTTTGCGTTGAATGAAATTTGCCAGTAACTACAAGACGTGTACAACAAATTTTAAAAAATTCCAAACAATACCACTGGACAAAAATGGTGCAAAAACCAGCACTCAAAATCAGACACAAACAGGCTCGTCTTGATTTTGCAAAAACACACATGTCCTGGTCAAAGAATGGGAATTTGTTATTTTTTCTGATGAAAAGAAATTCAATTTAGATGGGCCAGATGGTTTTAAATATTGCTGGCATGATTTAAGGAAAAAAAAGACAACAATGAGTCGCAATTTTGGTAGTGGTACATTAATGATCTGAGCTGCATTTAAACCTGACATCAAGACACCAATCTGTTGCATTACACCTAAAATGAATTCTGAAAAGTATACAGAATTATTAGACACAATTTTAATACCATTTATTGAATATAGTGGACACAATGATTTCATTTTAGGCGTATTAAGAACACATATATATATAGATTGAAATAATAGAAATAATATTTATTTAAAGAAATAATATTTATTTAAAGAAATATTATTTCTATTATTTCAATCTATATATATATGTGTTCTTAATACGCCTAAAATGAAATCATACTCAAATTTATCACAAGTACAGAATAATTCTAATATATTACCAAAAAACGTGGTGGCTTTATAGAAATTTCAGGCACTGTATAATTAAATGTCGTCTATAAGCTTTGTTGGTAACAATTTTTTGCTACAGCGTTTATTAACTCACAATTTATGTTAATAACCACTTTTACTAACCGACTTTAATGACCGTTATCACTTTTGGGAATCATCCAAGACCAACGGTAGGAATAAAATGATCGAAAAATTGCTAAGAAACCCAATATTTGGTTACAATTATGCGGCACCAAATGTTCAATGTAGAAATTGATGAATTACCAATGAATGAAAAGTATGTCTGGATTAATAAATTTCTTAAGAATACGTAATATAGGCAGTGAACTTACCGCACATGGCTATCAAGTGCAGCATGAAACATTTTTAATTGTAAATCCATTATAATCTCAAAACAATATCCCAGGAAAAAAATATTTAATTTGTATTTTACAATTGATCATACATTTATCTATTTGTAAATACTACATGCTAGGAGTATCAGTTGCTAAGAGAGTTAGAGTTTCACAAAGACACTTTTAAAGCAAGATCCGCATCTTATATACAATGTACTGTTAGAACCATTATAGTTGCATGTTGAACTGTTGAAATATTAAACTATGTTAGTTAACCCTTTAACCTATAATAACGTGTGAGACTCGTGGTACAGAATGAGTCGAACATGAAAAACACGAGTCAGACACGTCGTGTGAAAAGGAATTTTGATACCTGATTATGGCACACACTATCATACAGTAAATCGTAGACCAAAGGGTTAATATATTCTTATTAGGGCTTGCAATCGAATCTAGACTATCATAGAAAGAAAATTCAAATTGCAACGATGAAGCATGTTTGTTCTTATTCGTGTCTCTATTGTACGATTAACAAAAAATTGTTACATGTATTAATATAAGTTTGCTATTAAACGTTAATAAGTAAATACATAATGATTTTTTATGCAGAACAATGTTCTGAGAACATACACATTGTTAATTCTTAACTATTTTAATTGATATTTATCTATAAATGTTTGTAAGATATGTATATTGAATTTGATTGAAATAAATTCCAAATTGTATTTTAATATTATTGTCAATAATGATTTCATACAATAGTTCCTATAAACTATTAAAGATTGAATACTGGATATAAAAATAGTTGTAAAAATAGAATATTTTCAACAATGCTGTTAATTGTGGACTTAAAATGAAATATTGTAGTTACGTATACAGCAAGATTCGGTCGCAAACCTTAAATACAGTACTAAAGGATATTATTAGACGTACTACAGCGAATATGTTTTAATGTTTATATACATTCGTAAGCATTTGAAATGATTTCAAACAAATCAGCACGAAAGAAATTTAAAAGCAAAAGAGTATGCTACTGTCGCATGCAAAAGAAACCCAAAACATTAGTATCGAATGATTAAACAAGTGATCCTAATATAAAAGAGATGCATGAATATAAAGGCGTTTAATGCAGAAAGGAGTAAATATCCCAATAGTAAGTCACACAAACTGACGGACTCTACCTTCCCGATCCTGAAGCTGTTTCACATGGAATCACCGGGGAAAGATAAATGACCAGAGCAGCAAGAACAACAGGGTTATTTATGACAAATTTTATGATGTTATATATGTGTGATGTTTGCAAATGCTGCAAATACATTTAGCCTAATTTCTTGCAATAGCTATGTAATTTAAAGATGCTATTAAATATTCTTTTCCTTTCAAACGAATTACAAAATTCTAGTTACATATATTATATATTGACTGTAGCGTACATGTTTCTTACACAAATATATATGTTCTGTACACTTTATCTTATTATTGATTTTATTATATATTTGATCTGTAAGGGTACATCAATTCTTTTCATACCTAATTGTGCATTCCTTTAGTTCACAATATATAAAAAGTTTTAATTGGAAAATATAGAATTAATAAAATTGAAGTAAAATTTGTAATGCATAATGGCATTTTATTATGAAGCAGTTTTAAAATTTATTATAAAAATAATAATTTAACTTTTACTCTAGGATTTTCGTTAAAAAATTTATATACTATTTTGAGGGGTTCAGCGACAAATAAAGTTTAAGAAATACTATATTAATGTATAATTAAAAGTAATAGAACAAAGTCGTGTTTGCAAATGCATGTAATATGTTTATATAAATTGAGGGTAGTTTCTTTATTCTACATTTCACAAACTTATTGGCCAACAAAATTATTATTTAATCTTAGGATTCAAATTAGTATTATGGAAAATAAATATTATTTAAACAGTCAAATAAAAAGATCTTTTAAAGAAAAGCCTTAGGATTTTCATTTGTAATATCGATTTAATTCTTATTAATTTAGTGTGAATGAAACGTAAATTACTGTAGTAATTCTTAATTTTTTAATTAATGTTATCTCCTAGATTTTCTACTGAAATTTATGTTATTTCTCACAAATTATTCTAAAGGTTTCCTAAGATTTTTCTGAAAATTGAATTTCTTAGTTCTTGACACTCTTAAGAGATAAAATTATTCTATATTCGAATAGAGCTATAAGATCAGGAAAAAAGAGCTCACCTAACTAGAGGCCCCATAACACCATCCTGTGGGAGTGTTTGTAAGAGTGAAGGTCCTGCTGACACTGGACGTGTCTGTACCCATAATTGAACAGTAATAAATAAACAATATAAAAATAAATTATACGACAGATAGTAAGATTCTTAAAGTTAAAAACTGCAATATAGCATTTATTGTGTGAGTGGTATTTGCGACAAGAATATATAATAAATTAAATATAAATAATTGAATATACTGTTAAAATAACAACAAGAAATACATACAAAAAAAAAAAAAAAAAAAAAAAATTAAACATATCCAAGACATGTGTTAAATATATTTGAGGACATTAATTAATCATTTTATAAGGACTGAAAAACGTGCAGTACACAAATAGGTACATACAAATGAGAACGAATACCTATATGTTTGTGTGTTTGCAATCAACAAATTGAATATTACATCAATTGTATTAAGTGAAAGGGGGGTACCATCAAATCGTTTTAGAAAATGTGTAAAATATTCTGTACATTATTTACGACTTGCGTTATTTAAAATTTTTTTAAATACCAAATATTATGCAAGATATATGCTAACTGCTTATTGTAAATTAATTTGTGTATAGTTGAGTTGTACAATATTTAATGCGCAGATCATAGACATCAATAATGATAACAACGAACTGATATACAAAATTGTATATGTATAAAATTAAACTTCAAATGTTAGTAAACAATAAAATCATGATAATAAAAAATTCTTTTGGACAGAATGTATGAAATGTGTGCAACTCAAAAACAAATGTGCAAACAATTTTTGTATCAAAAATAAATGTGTAGATCTATATGCATTCTACGAATATAATTGTAAATATTGATGTCACTTTAAAGTATTGAGCTAAAGCGTTTAATAATACTGCTTTGAAGAATTTTATATATACATTGAGTCCCTATAACGTTGCTACGTGAATTATTTGCACAAAGCGAGAACTAGTAATTGTTACGTGACTATTGTTTGAAACAGTTTGAAACAAAAGTAACCATCTGTAAGATGCAATTAAGTAAACCATAATTACTATTTATTGAATATTCGTGGTGTTATGACTTGTAAATGACAAACGTACCTTCTCTGTTTGCGTAGCAGCATTGCACGTATTCGCGGATGGAATATTCTTATGGTTATTGGTTAAAACACACGTTTGACCGTCGACGCCGTTAGGTCCTTGAAGTTTCGACATTTGGAACTAGAAAATATAAAATTGTTAAAATTGATGACATTGTCTCTGAGAAACTGTCGAGTTAAGTTATTAGGACAGAATGTATGAATTGTTTGCTCACGAGTAGGTTTACCAATCATATTCTTTTATATGTACCTTTTTTGAGGCTTTAAAACAATGTATTCTTGCTTTTCATTTATGGAAGCTAAATCTACTTCTTTTGAAATGATAAATTGCAAAAATCACATTACATAGTTTAATCTGATTTATTATACTATATTTTTTATTTGTATTACAGTTGAAAGACATTTAGTATTATTTTGATATTTAAATAGTATAATTTGCAATACATTTGGATAAATGTAATGAATAATATTAGCTCAACGTTTTTGAGGATGGAATAGTATTCTTTATTTGCGAGACATATACTTTATTTTTATATTTCAAGGATGGTAATTCTACTCGTGTGTAGAAAACATTATTTGTTTATAGTACTTCTTCCTATATTAGAGTAAAAATATTGCAATTTTGCTAGCTTATAATATGAAACGTTACACTTTAATTGTAACGTAACATGAATATTACCCTTGATATTCTCTACACTTTTGCATTTATTTTCATGGATTAATGAATATTTCCTTTTGCCATTTTTCTAAATTTCTCCATAGTTTCACTAGTATTTTCATACAGAAATAAATTTAAACTTGTACAAAAGTTTATCCTATTTTTTAAGCAACGTAACTGACTTTTATTGTAATAAAACTATATTTATAGATGAACCAAGAAACTTGGTTGGTAACAAACAGTTACTCGATAAATATTAATTTACCTGCAATAGTTGTATAGTTCGATCTCTGTCCTCCACTTGACCTTGTAAAAAGATAACCTGCCTACGTAAATCAGCCAATTCGTCCGCGATGCTATTACCTCCGCTACCAGGTGAGGTACTAACATCAGCGGTATTTCCCTCGTTTAGGTTGTAGAAGAGACCATTCTGAAATTCGAGAAATTTATATAGATTATATTTACATGGATAATACGTAGGTTAATAGGAACATTCATAAGTTGAAGTTGGAAAGTTTCTCTTAAAATACAAATAAAGTACTGACCTTTATGGTATTGTCGAATGGGTTGAGAGTTTCTGCCTGTAAGCATGATGCGATAAATTATAAAATATTCAATATATTTCTATATAATTATAATATAATTTAATTGCATTAATAACAATAAGCTGACAATATTGATCCAATTAAAAGCAATAAAAAGAAGACAATAAATGTAATATAAAAGTACAGTAATGTCTCCATAACTGCACAAGCTCGGGTCTGACTTTGTGCAGTTATCGTAGAGTTCGTATATTCTGATGTTTGCCGACGAGCGTCGAACGTAGATAAGGACAGCGAATAAAGGAGAGGACGGAGCGAAAACATCAGGGAATGTCGGTGAGACAATTAAATGCAACGGTGAAACTTTTTTATTATTAAATTTTTGATTGTAAAACTTTTACCATCGTATTCCTCACATTTTTCTGACTAAAACGAGACCAAATACGATATAATTTGAATGATATTTACCATATATTTTTCTTTAATTAGTGTTCTACGATATACAGGGTGTCCCAGAATTCCTATAAGAGCCGGAAATTAGGGAGT